TTATATACAGGAGATGTCGCCTTCATTGATGATCAAGGTCAATCGTAATTTTCACAAACACGAAATAACGTTTTTTTTAAAAATTTTTTTAACCTGACATATTTTTGTACGCGCGTTTTTTTAACAGGAAACTTATTTATTACTGATCGTATCAAAGAGTTTATTAAATATAAGGTACACTACAATTTATTCATGGAAAATGAACATTATTCAAATATATTATCATTCTATGCACTCTTTAATCTATAGATTTATACATTTTCTTTAAACTAGGGTTTCCAGGTTGCACCCGCGGAACTAGAAGAAATCTTAATCACACATCCGGCGGTGTCAGATGCCGCCGTGGTTGGCTTTTATTGTGAACCCGAAGCCACCGAATACCCCTTGGGTTATGTTACACTTCGAGCAGGCTACGAACAATCATCCGAGCTAATTCACGAGATCAAAAAATACATTGCTGATCGAGTGGCACCGCATAAGAGGTTGAGAGATGTAATTTATATTGATAAAATACCTAAGAGTGCAGCAGGAAAATTGTTAAGAAGGTTGTTGAAGGAGAAAGCCAAAGCGGAGTATGTGTGTTCTCATCAAAGATAGTGTAAATCATTTGCTGATGATAGCGATAGGTTATTTATTAATATCAATAATGTTACTTACTGGAAAATAATCTTTTGAGTTATGACTTGTAAGGATTATTGAAGTCCGTTTTCAAAGGCTGTATTAAATAAATGTTCTAGAATTAACAACATCAATTGATCATTGTATCACTCTTAGTTGAGTTTACTTGATAAAAATCTGATACGAAATTCAAAAAATGTATATCTTCAATAGTATTCAAATTTGATGCGTTAGAAAAAAATAATCAAATGCATTGGAAAAATCGAATTTTAATATTAATGAAGAAATAAGTAACTTTATTTATTATAATCAACAGATCTAATATTTATTTATCACCTTATATACAGTAATACCGTACTTTGTATGTCATAATTGTATACAGCATGTGTGAATTGTAAAGTTGTCTTTATTCATGGTTTCCGTTGATAGAACCTAAGTTTACAGAAACACGTGATGTTTCTGTGCAGTTCATTGATTCACTACGATACCTCCAATCTGTGCATTTTCGGCCGGCTGGTCTGTATGGTGTATTTTCACACTCTGTAAACTTTATTGACAATTATGTTGTCTCATTTGTCGCCTCCCTAACTTATTTCCATTTTACATTCTTTAGGCTTTCCCGTTCGCCTTTTTTCTTATATCTTAGCCATTGTATTTGGTACTATACAGTTATGGAAAGGTAAAAATATAACATCGATAAATCAAATTTTATACCTAAATACTTTTAACACAGCAATTACGCCTTGTTCAATAAGCAACATTACTTTTTCATTCAGCGAGTTATCCGGACCATTATAGTTAATAAAAGCTTACTCTTTCACATTATTTTTAGAATATCTGAAGACTTTGAAGATTTCGTATCTACCCGCGAGGCGCTTAAAATTATTTTCCGCAATCCTCCAACGAAGAAATTATAAAATACGAGAAGCAGCTTAGTAGTGTGAAAAATCTCGTCCCTGTTCTTATCATTTCCGTTGGTTTGCCGGCTTATCACGCGGTTATGGATGCTTTTGCAACAAACGGTCAAAATAAGCGTAGAGATGAGAATTCTCGCTGTCTTCCACTTCACAACCGTCGTTGAACTCTATACTGTACACGACAACATTCGCAATCTTATTCCCAATGCCTTCTTTGATCAACCCTCCCTTCAGACTCTAGCACCTAATATTCGATTACATCCCGTAGGAACAGCCTGATATTGACAAAAGTGGGAGCACACAAAAGCGATTTCGGAAGTGATGATTCGTTCTTTCTTTCACACTACAGTAATTGAAAAGAATCTCAGTCGTCACTATATGACCGCATGTGATTTTTCATGTATAATTTTCTGCTATTAATAAAGCTGACCCATGAGTTTAGGATCACACATTTTGTCCCAAAGTACAGGCTAAATTCAATCGTAACCACTGTGTGACGCATATACGGTATGTAATTTTTTGGGATATACTGTAGTTTCGCGAGTGTTATATGGCAATATAATACATACTATTTAATTCATGTAACTACAGTTAATATATTTATTTATTTTATACCAAAGTACTGTATCGAGTAAATTTAAAACTTTAAATGTTACATAATGCCAGTTAAATCTCTTCTTTTTCGATATACGCATACACAAGAGACTAACAATTTTTTATTTATTACGACCTATTGCCACTATAATTATTATTTTCTAAGACTTCTATTATTCTCTATATGCACGGAGAATTTCATTCTTGACAAAGAAAAAATCCAGTACAATGGGATCGGGAAGAATGGTTCGTGGAATTTGGACATCAGGGTGTGCTTGGTGGTAGAGACAATCCAAATTAATTTTGATGAGGCAAAATATTTAACAGATTTCCGGCTCCATCATGAGTGCCAAACTCAAACTAGTAATAAAAATAATAAACCATCCGTATTAAAAAATTTTGAAAATTGATAGAAAAGATAATTTATCCCATATTTGACATTACGTGAATTCGATGTGGAAGTTCCCCTCCTCGTGTTCTTCTGTCAGTGGAACAAAAATGCCACGCCTACATGGGTTTATTCTTTAGAATAAAACCTCACTTACACTTTAAGAAGTATAACTTACTCGCATGCGTGAAGGTGTTTCGTCCTCAGAAATCGGATTGATTTTAACAACTACTGTATTGCGTCATGTGCGCGACTAAGATCCTTTAGCCAGTAATCTTTTACCTTTTCGAAGACGTGATTTGTACTTTCAGAATATGCGACTTCCACAATAATATTTGGCCATGGTTTATATACTTACAGTATAAAGACATATTATATTTGATTTGATTTGATTATTGTTATGTAATTATTTTGACACAATGTAATATATAAGTTGATATTATTTTAAAAAATAATTATAATTAATAAAATCAATTTATGTATCATTATCCAAATATAAAATTATTTATAGTAATTTGAATTGCGTTATTTTAAATCATTTTCTTATAAAATTTGAAAGCTAAAAAAACAAAAAACAAAAACATAACAAATACAGTATTATATGTTCGAGTGTATAAATATAGGTTAAATGTCAGATTAAAAAATATATACAGTATATACAGTATATTATTGTACGAATACATTATTTAAGTAACAAGTAAAAAATCTCACAGACTTATTTAATAGACATTGACAAATATAAGACAGTAATTTTAAAAAACCATAGTTTGATAGAATTATATTTCATTTATTAATACTGTATATAACCTTTTATCTTATATTTTATATAACAATAAGCGTTTTTTGAATTTGAAAATTAATGCAAAAAGTAAATCATACTTTTCCGATATACAGTATAATGAAAGGCGGTTCAGTAATGCAATAGTACAAGATCTAGTGTATGTATTATCGAATATACTTTCAAAAAGAAAGATCGAGCCATTGTTTTTACCAAGCTGCTGTACGCAAAACTAAAATGTATCCAATGCGTTGCTTAGCGAGTTATATTATGAGATAATTGAAATTTTTTTCTTTTCTTCTATCAAAAATGAATAGACAAAGGAGACAGAATTCGTTTTAAATACCCAAAGCTGCACTGGCGTTATTTGCTATTCCGTAGCCTATACTCATGACACGACATATTTTTCTTTAGCCAGCTGAATAACAATGGAGATAGGTGCGTCAACAGTTTTATCTGAATTTCCGAATCCAATCTCACGTCAATTATTGCGCAAGGAAAGGGCGTGTAATCAAAGATATCAAAAAAAATCATCAATAAGAAGATTGATATCATTGATTAATTGACCTTTAATCAAAGATTTATATAACACTCTTGCTCACATTTTAATTCGCAAATTTCTTTTGTACATCCCCACGTCCACGCATAACCACTGACCTCCAAAAATATATTTCATAATGGGTCTCAGGAATCGTTTTCGTACCAAATCATTTCTTCCTTCCCATTTAGCAACTATGAAAATAGAATACATCACCAAAATATTGACGATTCTCTCGTTTTTTGGTGCCTTTATAATCTTTACAATTTATGGTGTTCGCAAAGTAATGTCGGCAGAAAGACGACCGCTCATTGAAACAGATTTTGAAGTTCGAAAAAGTTTGTTCATTCCAGGAATTGTTACATGTGGACCGAACATGAACGTGCAACCGAAATGCTTCTTAGGCTTGTTGGGTACCAAGGGTGTTGAATGTGATTCACACTGGTGGATTCAAAGACCTATCGACCAATTTAAGTTTGTTTTTCCGGATACTGTTGGAGAAGGTCTTGATTTAAACTAATGACTTGACTATTATTGTGGAATTATATATTGTATAGCCAAATCTCACGTTATCTATTGCCTCCTTATTCAGCGTGGTTGTCAAATGCAAAAAATTGTTACATACTTTCCCCACCTCCTTCGGCAAGGTTTCTTCCAAACTTGGTCGAGGAAATGACGATTCATCTTTACTCAAATGAAACAACCACTTCCGTTTCCCCGATTCGTCGATGGGGTAACTACAATGTTGATTATGAAAATTCCGCAGGCGTTCACTAATTGACAATTTCAAATCATTAACAATAGCACAGTTCGGTATATATTGGCCCTGGATGGGACAAGACCCGTTTCTTGTCCGTCCTGACTTCTTCAATCTGCCGAGTGAATCATTATTTACTTTCTCGCGTCGCGAACTGTACAAATTGGTAAGATTTTATCCCGTTAGGTTTGAAATATTTCTATAGGTGATACTTCATTCCTAAAATGACCTCAGGATGGAAGACTCCAAATTACCTATGATATGGCACCGGCCAGAAGGGCCATACCGCTTTTTAGGAACGAATCTAGAAAATGGGGCGAAATTCATATTAGGTAAACCCTTGAGCCGAATGTCATGTTTTCGAATATTAATTCCGGAATAAACGTCTATATCTTTCAAACAGACCAGATTATGAACCTTCACTTGGTGGATACGAAGTGACTGTCCATCGAGAAAGAAAATACTTTACAGCTTATGATCTTCTGCCCGCAATTGGGGGCTTTTCTACTTTACTTATTATAATATACAAGTTTCTCTGGGGCGACTCGCGATTAAATCCTTTCGGTCTCCTTCAGAAATACATTTTTCGATCCGCACCGTCCATGTCCTTCAACCAGTTAGGTCGCGAATATGGTTCGTATAATAACGCTATCGTATTAAACCGAATTGAGAAGCCTCCGTCCGTGGCATTGAAACCAGGTGGATTCACCAAAATGCGTGAAGATGAATCGGATGTCACCACATCAAGCAAACGTGATTCAGATTATCCTTTCAAAGGATATGGACCAGACGATATGGGTAATTCACTATTGGAGTTCGCCTCAAGTCCAGGTGTTGGAGGTAATGGTGCTACCAATGATACAAATCCATTTCACGGTCGTCAAAATCAACGCGATGTAATACCGATGGAAGTTGAAGGATTAAGAAGAGAGGTTAATCAATTGAGAAATGAACTTAAGAATTTAGAGAATCTTTTGAAATGTTATTGTCTATAAGAAATTAGCACGTATTTATGATACTGTACTGTATATGTCAAAATTATATGATATTTCGAATAATAACAAATTCGCGTGATATAGAATGCTGTAATGTCTTTGATCATGGCACTTACTATAATATCAATAAATCAAACATTTTCATATCCTCCTTAACTTCTATAAGTTTATCAAAGAAAGTCAATATTGCCGTCATTGATCCTTAATATTCAGTCTTCTAAGGAGTTTATTTATCTCTTGGAAAGGAATGTATATAAATATCAGTGTGTTCAAAAGATAATAAAAAACGAAGTTCGTCTTGTCAAATTTTTATTATTTTCGACTTCATCCACTAAAGTCATGAAGATCACCGTGACTCTCCTGATCTTAATTTTCTTTTTGTTCGGAATCGTCCTCGCCGAATCCGACAAACAACCGAATGTTACCCAAGAGCAGATATGCAAAGGTATGATTTTACATTCTTCTTTTTAAAATTAAATCTTACAACTTAATGATTAATCTTTTGCGCAATACCTTAGGTCTCCGTGTTGTTTATCCAGCCCGCCCAGGAATCACTTATTCAATAAATCAATCTCATACCATAAAAATTCGTCGCGATCCAATTTTTAGTAATATCCAATACATTAGGTGGATTCAACTTTGGGGAACCGATATTACGACTGGTAGACATTTCTTTGTGAAGACTTTATGGGAGGGTCGACAAAATGTGGCTCCGGGTAGTGATGTTAGAATTAGAGTGCGACTCAATATTTCCAAAAACTTTGTAACAAAAAATCATCAATTTTATTATAGAATTTATTCAAAAACAACAGAAGGATTCGCTGAATGTTATATTAAAAGTGGTACCTTTTACATTCAGTCATAAGTGCGGTTTAGGTTAACTTGCACATTTTTCTATTATCTTAAGTTAGAAAAAATGATTTATTTGTAAAGTAGTTCACCTCTTACGTGTTCTTCGTGATTCAAATATAAGGAATCATTCAACGAGTCAATTAAACTTTAGAACGCATTGAAAATGTTATAGTGTATTGTACAATGTAACTTATTGTGAGTTTAGGTGACCGGCTCTCAAAACTTAAAGGTTTGCAAAGTGGAATATACGCAGGCGTTTAGTACACTGGAGTATTCCATTGGTAATAATTTTTATAATAAAAAGATTTTTTTAAAATATTATAAAGTACTCTGAAGTATTCAAAGATATGAAAAAAATTATATTTTAAATATTGTTGACGTTATTTCGGCGAGTCTGTCACTAGTGCCAGGTCAAACCGCGTAAATTCATTGTTTCTTCTCTACTTGAAGTGTGGATTTGACTTAGCCAAATTATAGTTATTGCTAACACCGTTCCTTCTCATCTTTCCCAGATAATTCAAATCGCAATTCCTTAGTGACTCCTAGAACGATCCTCTTGCAGCAACGTTACTTCCAAAGGGATAAGTTAATTAGCCAATTTTTTTTATTTGATGGCATCGATCACAATTTTTTAATTCACGATTACAACCTTTCGCGCTCTTATATTTTTCTTTTTGAATTTACTTGATTGTTTCTTCGTGTTCTCATTCTTACACTTTTTTACTCCTATTTATATTACCATCTCTATCCCTATCGTGCTGAGAAACTATCCATGAAACTATTTTACTATGATACAGTAAGTAAACTACCGTGCTACAAAATAAACTATCTAAGCTTTTCATGACATGTGACTACTTTCTAACTACAGTACTTTGATTAGGCGTGCTACACGAAAATCGCAATCGAAATTAATTTTAATTTAAATAAATTAAATCCTATTAAATAATGATAAACAAGTACCGTACATAAAAATAAAACTTTAATAAACATTATCGATCTATTCTCTTTGTAAACGCAAATTTTTTTAATAGTACTACTGATATTGTACACCTGAACCCATCTTTAAGCATCATTGAGTTCTTGTATTTTGTATTAAATGATATAGAATGTAAAATGTATGTTTGAAAACATTTTTTATTTTTCCTAAACAAAATATAAAAGTTTTGAATTGAAACATCAGGAGATTGGAAACTCACGAGTATATATAATTGTGAAATTATTTGTTAGATAGTTTGAATTCTCTGAAGTAAAGATAATATATGGAAAAAAATATTAGGGAGATAATATAAAATCAAGAGTAATAACAATTATATAATAATTTGGGTTTTGAACTTTTCTTAGAATATTATTTTAGTAACATATCTTTTAAATATCAATTTTTCTATATACAGTATATATATTTTTATATATCATAATATTTTGTTTAATAAAATATATAATATATGTCAACTTTACAATAAAAAATTAAATAATAGTAAATATGTTGTTGGGCCGGAAAACGGCGAGTCAGTCACTTCACCGGTCCAAAGTTCACGTTACTAAAGGTAAGTTGAGGTGTGTATGATTGATTTAGCCGGGCAGTACTAATTAACTTCTCTTCTTTTCTTTCC